CGGGTTTAAACCCAGCCCCGGCCAAAAACCGCCAAAACCCCCCCCATAAAACAGAAAAACTTATCTCTTGGTATTTACCTCCATAAAATCTGGGTTTTAGTGAAACTAGACTGAGTAAATATATGTAAAACATTTAGATCTTTATGTGACCCATACTAAGAACTATGTATGTCTTAGCTATTACTGCTTTTATTTGAATATATTGTATGCATTTCTATCTCCAGAATAGTATTAATTTCCTTTTCTTATTTGAATACTTCAACCTTTTTCTCCTAAAGGAGGAAGTAGTGATTTAAACTATTAATGCCCAGCAGTAGCCAATTGTTACTGCTGGAAAAACTTAAAATATCCTTCCTACAATAGATAGAACCCATAAACCATAAACCCTAATTTACCACAAAATATTAAAATTTGTGACTGGGGGCAGTGCTTGTGGCTTAAAGGAGTAGGATACCGGCCCCATATGCCAGAGGTGGCAGGTTCAAACCCAGCCCTGGCCAAAAACTGCAAAAAAAAAAAAAAAAAGCAAAAAAAAAGGCATCAGTATATACCTTAATTAAAAATACTTTTTAAAAATTATGACTGGATAAGACAGAAATAAAATGTAATTATTTTTTCCATTCAAGAACAGTAATCTGTTCCATGTGTTATTAAAAAAAAAAAAAAAAAGCTCTTCTTCCCCAAATAAATGGGCTCTGAATTTAGGGCAGTTAACTCTCCAACTTTGGCATATACTTGCATTAGAATAACCTGACAGCTTTCACAAATAATACAGCTGCCTAGGTGTCACTTAGAGGCCTCAGGCACCTTAAGTTTTTCCCAAGTTTAATACGGGATCTTCATGTGAATCTACAGCTGACAATCACTGGGCTAGTCAAGAAAACTTTGGTTTAAGTCATGTTTGGCATACATATATCTTGATGTTCTAAAGCAGGTTTTTGATAATACCCAAAAAAAGAACTGATAAACTCATAGTGATTTATGTGTTCGAGTGGTGCTATAAATAAACAAAAGAGAAAATCAACCTTTTGAGTTTGATTTAGGGGTAAGAAAAAATACACAGACATCTCAAATAGTGCACTAATTAATGTAACAGTCTGCTGGTCTAACTTATATTAATTAAAAACTTTCAACACAGTATTACTTAAGTAAATATATATTTAACTATGTACAGTACTCACAACTCAAAAATATACAGTTAAGCATGTTAATGGGTGGAAAAGTTGGCATTTTGCATGTAACACTTCAAAAATTTCTAGAAAAACCTTTACCTCAAAAATATTTTACACCAATTTTCCAAAGTGCTGTGGCTCCCTGACTCATTTTATCTCAACAATCCAATTTAGATATCCAAATCGTTAGGCATGAAATAACCAATATACTGAAAAACAACACTTCGTTTTACAATACCAGAAGCTGTTAAACCCCCAATTTGGGGTCTTTAAAACATTATAACAAAGCCCCTTTCACCCTCCAATCCTGAGACAACAAATCTTGTAGTTCTCCCTCATCATCGCTGTCAGCATTCTCCTCTTCCTTTTTCTGCAGTTCTTTAATGGTCAGAATCTCTTTAAGCTTATTTATTTCATCCTGGCGATTCCACAGCTTTTCCACCCGACGGTAACACTCTATCTGCTCATCGATCTCCCCAATCTGGCGGTCCAACCGTCCCTCTTCATCCTCTTCAGCAACTATGGCTTCAGAAATAGTGTTGACCTGCCTCATGGCTTTTTGAAATTCGTCCCATTCTTTGTCCATCTGATCCTTCGGGGCATCAACCTTTCGTACCCTCGCATCAACCTCAGGGTCGTCAAAAAATCCTTCCGGTAATGCTTCTGCGGTGTTTTCTCTCCTCTGCACTACTTTTTCATGTATTTCTGCTTTTTCAATTGATCCTGAATGAGGAATTAAGGGGGCTTTGGGAGGATTTGTACCAAAGAAGTCGTTTGGCAGCACACTATTTGTTACCTCCCGCGAGACGGAAAGTGAATGGTCTTTGCCTTGCGCACCGAGTGGCTGCTTGCTGGCGTCCCCCCTTTTTCGTTCTCCTCCCTCCTCCTCCTCGTTCTCCTCCTCGTCCTCATCCTCATAATCGGGGAGTAAACCGAGTCCCGAAGGCTTACTGGAGGTCGCTCTAGTGGACTCCTTTACGGTTTTGTCAAAGTTGGTGGGCAAAGCGGACGTGGAGGGCTGTACCTGAGCAACCGAGCAGGCCTTCGCTCTCTTGGAATCTTGGACATCTGCCTCTGACGCCTTCCTCTTGGCAGTCTGGGGCGCTGAGCTGGCGGACGGACCTTGGCTGGCTTCTTTCGCGCCTTTCAGCTCGGCCACTTTCTCTCGGTGCTGCTTTCCCAGGACGTGAGTCTGCCACAGGAGCTCGCTCTTAACCGGAGTGTTACACAGGGCACAACTTAGTTGCCCCAAACGATTGTACTTCGCGAATGGAGATTCTATCCGTTTCCGGTTGGCGCTCAGACGCTGCTTCTCTTTCATCAACCGCCGCAGTTCTTCCTGATTCACCACCCGCTTCCCCGCCGGGGTCCGAGAGGAGGCGGAGGACGCCATCTTGGCGACCTGACCAACGCGAGCCTAGCGTCTGTCGCGGCGAGGTGTAATAACGTCACTTCCTGTCAGGGCAATGATTGGCTGAGGCTCTGAAAAGTGGGGCGTGGCGCCGAGGTTTATTGCTCAGACTCGGGATTGAGGCAGTTTTTGTCTGTAACGGTCACGCAATGGCTGCGATAAAAGCTGTGAACGCCAAGGCTGAGGTGGCGCGGGCCCAGGCGGCTTTGGCCGTCAATATATGCGCCGCCCGAGGGCTGCAGGATGTGCTGCGGACCAACCTGGGTCCTAAGGGCACCATGAAAATGTGAGGCGGCGGTTAGGCCGCCGAGGGGTTGTTGGGTGTCGGAGCGTCCTCTGAAGCAGGGGTTCTGCGGACGTTGGAGCCCCTGGACGCACCTGCGGGCCTCGTTTCTTTTATTCTCATTCCTGCCTTGCGGGAATCTGTAGCCCTTTTGGGGAAAAGATGAAAAGCCTCCCCAAGAAAGGGCCTCCCCATGAATGAAGCGGCGACGCCCCCACTTTTCGCCTATAAGGTTCACGTACAGTTAGATAATTTAGTAATGCTTCCTTGGAACCATAAAGCATTTAACTCCTCTGCTC